ATCTCTGCAGCAATCACAGAGGAAACATTTTCAAGTCCATCAATGGGGAAAGTCCTTCAGTGTCCATCAATGGGGAAGATATAATGAAGACACAATCATTTTGCACAGGCTGGCTGGCTATTGGGGTCATTTGATAAACAAGACATACATGAGGTGTGGTAGGGCTAGGAGGAGGATACAATGGATTCGATTTGAATAAAATGTTGAATGTTGAGTATCTATGGAATGTTGACGTAGAAATACCCTCCAGAGACAAGATAAATCCACAGTTATGGATTTGGGAGTCATTGTCGTGAAGGTGACTTTTGTAGCAATGGGTGTACATGAAATCTATCAAGAAGAATAGATAAGTGTAAAAGGAAGAATAAGATGTGGCTCCTCTGATCCCCAATGTTTATAAGAAATATAGTGAAGATGTATCGTGGAGGGACTGGAAAACACTTGGCACTCTATCTACTTTAGCTGTAGGCATTGCCTTCTTGAAGTAATTTTCCTAATAAACACTTTACTTATTAGCACTGATTTACAGTAAATCAACATTGGAATTGAGCTGGGAATCTGCATTTAATCTTAGAAATTTCTTATGTGTGTGTTTTGTTTTCTCTTTTTTCTATCAACTGCATAAATGAACTTCAAGTTATTTGAAAATCAATGGTATGTATTTTCTTTTAATTCCCCATAGGAAAAAGGTAGATATGACAATCTATTTTATAATAGATGTGTTGAGGGAGTCATAGAAAGAAATTAAATTCCTCATAGAAAATAATTCCACTATTTTTTACCATGGGAAACTGATGCATGGTCTGTGGACATCTACTCTAGAAAACTAAGCATAAATGTGAAGGGATTTTTTAAATGTGGTTTCTGAAGATGCATATATTACTTCGAATAAATAAAATATGACTTTTAGCTAGTTGAAGTAAGTTCCTGAGGAACAGGGCATTTAAAAAATCTGTCTATGTATCTGTATCTACTTACGAAATTTTCCCTTGGTGTGACTGGCTAATCTAATTTATTGTGGGCCTGTGGCATGGGATGAAGTGAGATGTCCAGTTTGCTTTTCTTATTCATGCTGCTCCTTTGTCAGAATAGGACAACTAAATTGACTTATAACAATCATGTTCTCAGTCATCAAAATCCATCATTAACAATCACTACTTACACAGCTTTTTTTTGTTACAATATACGTTTTCCTCTTAGAATTTACACGCTGCTGCATAGGAACCAGGCAGCCTTAACAGTACATCTTTTGTTGTATAATAATGACTTTTTTTCCATAATCATATAAGGTATATTTTACAGAAAAAAATAATTTGAGGTTGAATTTTCTTAGGCTGGTTCAATGAGTGTGAATGCCTGGCTTTAAAAGTACTTCTTTAATGTAGTTTAATAGAGATACATTTTTCTTTAAAGATTAAACTGAGCTTAGTGTAACCTATCCAACCAAAACTCAGTAAGTTGCTTGGCAAAGATACACTTTTACGTCCCTGAATTCAACCTGCATTTTCCAAATTAAGTATTAAATAGAGGCACACATTAGCTAACAATAGCTAACACTTCTTAAATGCCCCAAATGTTCTAAACTTTTACACATATTGCATCTAAGATCTTTACATGTATGTATTAACTCACTTGATTCACACAACAACCTATCGGACAACCTACTATCCCCTTTTTGCAGTGAAAGAAACGGAGGCACAAAGAGTTTGTCATGCAATTATTATTTATAGTGATACTTTATGTTATCTGTGATGCTATTGTATATTTGTAAACTCTTTATTGTTTTCAAAGCCCAAGCACTCTTATCTTTTGTTCTAAGAATTTAGTGCACATGATTAATAGGCCAACACAGCTTTCATTAAAAATTCCAAATCTTAAGGCCTTAAGGAGTTTAATATATTTAAATTTCATTAGAAAGTTGGTCCTAAGTTAAACATAAATAATTTTTAAAACTAAATTTAAGTCAACTGGAAAATAAATAAGCCTGCAGTATTTAAAAATAATTTTTTTCTTTGGTTTGGCAGTAAAGGAAATATTTGTTGAACTAACCTTAAGGGGTTTCTTTCCACAAAGAAAACAAAGAGACATAAAGTAAACTATGGAAACTGATGTGACTGTGAAAACCCTTTCAGCACATTAGGGAAACATCTATTCATATTTGATTTCAGTAACACAAAACAATGATTAAAATTTTTAAATCTAATTTTCATGTTGTCCAGTAAGTTGCTGATCTACTTCTCTCTCTCTCTCTCTCTCTCTCTCTCTCTCTCTCTCTCTCACAGACACACACACACACACACACACACTTATTATCAGCACAAAGATAATTTAGTTTAAAAAATGTAAAGATTTCAGGTGCTTATGAGGAAGTTAATTTACTGCTGTGGAGTTCTGGAACATATGCGCTATTTTGGCCTAGCCCAGATTTCTATTTGTACACTGCCCCATAATATAGGTGCCTAGAATCAGATGGAAGAGTCAGAGGTCTTTTGCAGATCTGCACTTTCCAGACTTCCATGTGCATGTACATCACTGTCTGTACGTGATAACAGCGCTGCCAGTCCAAGGACCAGGCTTTAGTGGTAAGCTTAGGCTATTCCCATCTAATAGTGAGAGGTGCACTTACACCTAGTTAGTAAGTTAAAAGCCCTTCCTTATCAAATTCACCAAGAAAAGGTCTTCATCCTCTCTCAGAAATTCATTGCAGCATTTAACATTTCTTTTAGCCCTGTATATCTCACTTGTGTTTCTCCTGGTATGGAGGGGAAAGGGAAGACTACTTACTAACTCTTATGATGCATAAATTATGAAATTCTTCAAGCTGCGAAATTTTCATTTCCTGTCAATATTTTCCAACAATCTTTTCCTGGCAGTGGCTAGTTTCTTTTTTTTGTTGTTGTTTTTGTTTTTGTTTTTTTGGTTTTTCTGGTTTTTCTCCGGTACCGGGAACCGAACTCACGACCTTGAGCTTGCCGGGCAGGCGCTTTGCCGCTGAGCTAAATCCCCAGCCCAGTGGCTAGTTTCAATTCAAACCAATTCATTCCCTTTGTAAGGGTTAATGCATTCCTATGCTAGTATTAGGAAATGACTCAAAGGAGAGCAAGATTTGATTCCTGTTCTTCAAAGAGCTTACAATATGATATAAAGATAAAATACACTAAAGGGCAGAAATCTCTGTCACATTTTGTTTAATTTTAAAATTATTATCATTACTTTTTACTTAGTTTTGGTTGAATAGCCTCTACTTGAACTCTTCTAGGAACTGAATACTTACAACTGCTCCTTCAATCTTGAATACATGCATCTTGAGTTTCCAGTCTTGGCATTTCAGTCTGTGCTAAAAACTCTCATGGGGCTAGTTCTGTAAATGTACACTCGGTAAATGTTTTATTACTAAAGCAGGGCCATCTATGGAAGTAAATATCATATCTAAAGAACATCACTGGGAGTAGAAATCATAAAAGATTCTTTAAAGACAGTATGTGTGGACTCCAAAGGATTAAAACAGAAATTTGAGAGCTCTGGAAGATATTTCTATTTGGTGGTTTCGGTGCCAATATTATGAAGATCTGAGAAAAAAAAAAGCCCATGGGGCCATAAATGTGACATCTTGGCCCCACAGCCAGGAAGCAACTTAATGAGGGACAGTGTCTCCTCTTTCCTAAGAACAATGATTCCACTGGAGATGGTGTGGTGACCTTGGTGAACTTGGTACTGTTCCTAACTGAGAGCAGCAGTTCTGCTTCTTTCTTTCCGTCATCTCAAAGGCTTATTATTGGGAATGGGACTATTTATAAATAATCCCTGATATATCACTTTTCTTAGAAAAAGGGTTGTGGGTGAAGTAAACCACTAACAAGCTTCAGGATTTGTGACAGTTAATAAGTCGCTTGCAACACACACTCCAAGGATCAATATGTTATAACATAAAGATGAAAACCAGTAGTTGGTGGCTTGATACATTTCTAAATATAAGTTCAAACCAAGTTAATTATATTTATTTAACATTTTTGTGCACCTACTATCATAGTGGAAATATGTCTTTATGCTTTCTTCTGGTTTGGTCCTCTTGGTTTTTCTTGTTAAAACAGAAGACTACTATATAGTATTATATATTATTTACAGTGAAAAAATTTTCTGTTCACATTATCTGAAACAATTCAAACATCACTCAGGATTTGGATAAGATAATCTCTGAAGTTATTTCTACTTTGATTCTGTAAGTGCTACTGCAGGAATTTGTACACACCCAGAAAAAGTATTAAAATTGTTATTACAGAATCGCCATCAAAATGGTAGTGAAAATACAATATTCTACAATACGCTTTTAAAGAGTAGTAGGTATGTCCTGATGTTGGAAGACCTTTTCAAATTGCGATGGTAAATAAATAAACTACTCACCACTGATCCTTCCTGAAAGGCTTAGATTTCTGATTTGCTGTGGAGCTTGCTGTTCTCCACACTAGTACCTGGGCTGTAAAGCATACTGTTTGGTAAAACTGGATGGTGACTTCCAAAGCTTCCTGAAGCATGTCTGTTGCCTAATGCGTGAATCAAAAATCCTCTTTGATCTCTCCACAATTCATTTTTCTAGAATTGCCACTTATAAATACCCTTGGATCAACCTTTTGGGAATATCCTTCTTATCTCTCTCTGAGCAGCTGTTCTGGGACTCCTCACTGTGCAAACACAACTCAAGGGCAAAAGCCTGAATAGAAAGAAACTGTAGAAATGAAGAGCATTTAATTCTCTCTTGGATTCATTAAGGTCATGGCATTCATCTTTTCCCAGCATGAAACGAGATGATCAGCTTCCTACTTTCCTGAGGGTTGTTTGTGAGTAAAATTCAGTACAGGATTTTTTTCTAAGAAATTATGGGTGGCTGAAATCTTGAGAGAAGCTTTTCATTCCCTTTAGGGAGAGAAGGAGTAAGTATGGATGTGTTATTACTGTATTTGGTTATATTTCATATAGCACAGGGAGTTTTCACTTCATGCTACCTTCTCTGCCAGTTGCACAGGTGTAGAAAGCCACAATACAAGGGGTGATAAAAAACTGCAGTGCCTGTTTAGATTTAAAAATAACTTACTACAGTAAAAGACCCATTGTCAAGAACAGTGGGATAATAAGTGCCTTCAAGTTGAGGGAGAACATTTTAGTGGCAATGTATCTTTACAGTAAAAAAAAAATTAAACAATTACCATGTATTTTGACCACATTTTGTACTAACAACATTATCTTAGAGCTAAGCCCCTTCTAGTTAGGGATGCTCACCTAGACGCAAAGCTTTCTTTCTTCCCTACCAGCACCTCCATGCCCCTGATTTCTGGCCCTGCCATTCCTCATGACCTAGTGATGACTGCTTGCTGCGGAGTTTAAAGGAGAAAAAGGCAAACGCATCAAATAACTCTGTAGGGCATAAATGAGGATAAGGCTATAAGCCTGAATGTTTTGTAGCATTTTGCTGCACAAAAACTAAAGTAAAAGAATTAAACCATGTCAAGAGTTAAGTTTCTAAAGCTTAAAGATGTCTTAGTAATATTGGATTTATCTATATGGGTAGGAAAAGCACAGAAATAGTGCTTCTCAAAGATTTTAGAATCCTTAGCCATCAAGAAAGTACAAACTTGAACTACATTTGATATAGCACATCAAACAGCTGAGAACGGCTAGAATAAAAGGACAAATAGTAAGGTATTGGTGAAGAGGTAAAGAAATTAGAAAGCCTATTCACTGCTGTAAGTATAATGTAAGATTGTACTATTGCTTTGAAAACAATCTGGTATTTCTTCAAAATTTTAGACATTGAGTTATCATAGGATCCACCACTTCCACTCCCTGACATAAACCCAAGATAAATAAACATACTGTCCACAAATAATTTGCACATGAATGTTCATGATATTTTTGTTCCTACTAGTCAAAAAGTAAAAATGAGCAAAATTTCTTTTTAAAAAATTGTTATTCATTTATCTATTTTTATTAGTATATATTTGCAGTGAAAAATGTTTACATCCTTTGTGTGGAGTTGATACATGTACATAAAACACCTCAATTCTTTTTATCATTCCCTCCTCCTCATATCTTTAGCCACTTCCCATTTTAGGAAGATCTATCTCCTTATTACCTACTTTTTCTTTTGTATTTTATTTATGATTTGTACTATATTTATAATCATAGAAGAGAAATCATGTGATATTTAAGTTTGTATGTCTCATTCATTTCACTTAACATTATGATCTTAAAATGTGACCAAAATTTCTATCCAGTGAAAACATACAAATCAATGTGGTACAGTCAAAAGATGTTAATTATTGAGCAATAGGAAGGGATAAAGTACTGATGTATGTCATAAAATGAATGAAACTTGAAAACATTGCCCTAAGTGAAAGAAGTCGGACGCAAAGACATATATTAAATTACTGCACCTATACGAAGCATTTAGAATAGAAATATCTGTAGACAAAGAAAGTAGGCAAGAATTTTCCCATATGTGAAGAAGAAACACGCAAATAGTTTTTACTAAAGACCTTAGAATGATGAGTTATTGGGGAAATAAGAATGAAAGTCATACTTCACATAATACTTCACATACATTAGTGTTAGACTGGAGCTGAAAAATTGGAGAGAAATGGCTAGTGACTGGTATGGGTATAGAGTTTCTGGGGAAGAGAGTGATGAAAATATTCTGCAATACCTTTGAATTGAAGAACACATAATGTATGAGGTCACAATGTGTGAAAGGATAAGCACAAGTATAATTGGCTTCCCTGGTTGGCATGGGACACCACAGTTGTCAAGAGATGCCAAATAGATATATACAGAGAGAGGACTATTAAAATTATGGTTGGAATGTTTATATTTTTTCAATTAAGAAGTTTTCTAGATGGTAAAACATTATTTAACTTCTGTTCTCAGCAGAGAACCCATAATTTCCAATCAGTTTCCCCAGGGCATCCTTCACCTCCTTGTTTCTCAGGCTGTAGATGATGGGATTGAACATAGGGGTCACTACACAGAAGAGGACAGAGACCAGAATATCCATGTCCAAGGAGTAGCCTTCACTGGGCCTGGCATAGTTGAAGTTGGCTGTTCCAAAGAAGACTATCACCACTGTCAGGTGGGATGCACAGGTGGAGAAGCACTTGCTCCTGCCTTGAGAAGAGGGGATCCTAAGGATGGCAGAGATGATGAATATGTAGGACCCAGCAGTAAACAGGCAGGGGCTCAGGCCAATGGTGGCACTGGCCACATGGAGCACAGACTCATTGACAGACGTGTCTGAGCAGGAGAGCTTCAGGATCAATGGGATGTCACAGAGAAAGTGGCTGATCTTGTTGGGACCACACAGAGTGAGTGTGGCTGCCAGCACTGTGTGTGTTACAGAATTCACCAGCCCACAGAGCCAGGACCCAGTCACCAGGCAAATACAGACCTTCACACTCATGAGTACTGGATATTGAAGAGGGTGGCAAATGGCCACATAGCGATCATAAGCCATGGAAGCCAACAAGACACACTCAGTGCCAGCACATGTCAGAAGGAAGAAAATCTGGGAAAGGCAGCCCTCATAGGAAATGGTCTTCTTCTCCCGGAAGAAGTTCACCAACATGACTGGAATGGTGGTAGATGTGTAGCAAATGTCTAAGAAGCTCAAGCTGCTGAGGAAATAATACATTGGTGTGTGGAGAGCAGGACTGACCCTGGTGGCCATTATTATGAGGACATTCCCTAGAAGAGTTGTCAGGTAAATAACGAGGAAGACAAGAAAGAAGAAGCTCCACAAGTTGGAGTGATTTGAAAATCCCAAGAAGATGAATTCGGTGACAAATGTCTGATTGCCCATTTCAAATGCTGTCGTAGCTATGAAATAGAAAGAAACCACAAGAAGAACATATTAAGAACACCCTCCTATGAGTTTGGAAATCAGTAGACACATACTAACTAATGTTGACATATAGCAGTCTGGGCAGTAATAATCTTTGGGGATGACTTTGGAAGAACATTACTTTTCACTTAATGGGTCTACCTAGCTCAGGTCAAAACTTCCTGCAATTTTTAGTGGTTAATGATGGTTGAAAATAGATGAAGGCTTACTTAAAGTCACCAAAAGCCATTAACCCTTGCATTGGTGTGAACTCTTTTTTGTCTCCTTAATCTCTCCCTTTTATCATTGTCTTTTTCTGTAAGCATCTAAGTTTTTGAGAAATAGTCTCTCATTGCTAAAATAAAGAAAATAAAAAGTTTACAAAGAAGAATTCCATCATCTGTAGTAATCTGCAAAGTCAAACTCCTTTGCAGTTTTTTTTCGATTTATAAATCTTGATCTCTCTTTATAAATTTTAAATATAATGAACACAATTTTCTAAACTGGATAAGAAGAGACTCATAGATGACATGAGCCCAAATATACAAAGTGTCAAAAAATCCACTTAAAAGCTATAAGATCTACAAGTTCAACAAAGTTCTACGTAACGCCAGTTATATTTCTATACACCTGCAATGACAATCTAAAAAGGAAAAAAACAATTCCATTTACAATGTATCCAAGGAATTAAGTACTTAGAATTAATCTTACTAATGAAGTTAATGACTTATACACTGAGAATTGCAAAATATTGCTGGAACAAATGAGAAAACCTAAGTAATGGAAAGATATCTTGCATTCATTGAAAGGAAGACTTGAAATTGTTAAGATGTCAGTAATACTCAGGTGATCTAGAGACTCAACACAATCCATATTGTATGGCAAGAGCCTTTTTTTCTCACAGAAATGGATAAGTTCACCTTCAAATTTGTATGCAGTTTCAAGGGGCCCCAAAATGTCAAAACAGTCTTGAAAAAGAATTAAACTAGAACACTCATACTTCCTGACTTTAAAACTTACTATAGAATTATAGTAATTAAAATACCATCCTACTAGCATAAGGAGAGCCATATAGATCAATGGAGTAGAATAGAGAGCCAATTTAAGCCTTCACCTACATGGCTAATTGAGTTTCAATAAGGTTGCCAAGATGATTCAGTAGGGGAAGGATGGTCTTCTCAAAAGAGTGGTTCTGAGAAAATAGGATATGCACAGGTGAAAGAAGAAAGTAGGACCTTTATCATATATTATATATAAAATTAGCTCAAAAATGGGTAAAATCTTTAAATTTAAGAGCTAAATCTGTAGAATTCTCAGAAGGAAACATGGGGAAAGTCTTCATGACACTAGATTTGGCAACTACCTCATAGATTGAACACCAAAGGTACAGACAAACCATAAAAATAGATAAATTGTACTTCATCACATTAAGAAAGTATCATCAGGGGCTGGGGATTTAGCTCAGCGGCAAAAGCGCCTGC